GAACTTAACAGGACATAGTCAACTAATTGAAATCAGTATATGTGAACCAGAATATTGACATGTGTGTGACCATTTCTCAGTGTATCTGTTATACTTCTGATCTCCCTGCTGACTAAACAGATTTCTGTGCCATATTTTAAAGGTAAAGGCTCCCCTTGACAATTTTTTATTTTAAAGGTAAACGTTCCCCATGACAATTTTTGTCCAGTCGTGTTCAACTCTAGGGGGCGGTGCTCATCCCCGTTTCCAAGCCATAGAGCCAGCGTTTTGTGCAAAGACAATCTTCCGTGGTCACATGGCCAGTGCGACTTAGACACGGAACGCTGTTACCTTCCCATCGAGGTGGTCCCTATTTATCTACTCGCATTTGCATTCTTTTGAACTGCTAGGTTGGCGGGAGCTGGGGCAAGTGACGGGCGCTCACTCCGTCACGTGGATTCGATCTTACGACTGCTTGGTCTTCTGACCCTGCAGCACAGGCTTCTGCAGTTTAGCCCGCAGCGCCACCATGTCCCCACCACGTGCCTTATTTTACCTTGTATATTACTTGTATAACGGGCCATAACCCATAAAAGTTCTCCATTCCATCTTTGTGTTTTTGTTACATGGGCAAGGCAATGTTAACGGCCCCACCCACGTGGGTGGCAACTTGTATAATGGGCCTTAACTTATAAAAGTTCTCCATTCCATCTTTGTGATTTTTTTTACATGGGCAAGGTCTACTCCTATGCAAAATATGTACAAAGTGCTGTGATTGATGCAAATCTCATTTAATGCTAACCTCAAGTTCCTTCTATAAATGCTTGATACTATATAGTACTCTTTACTAAGTTACATGCACAACCAATCCACTCTGTGACTCAGAAACCAATGTGTGTGTCATAATGTGAATTATATTTTTGATTTCTCATTACTTTGAATTCTGCAATATAGTTGTTGACTCAAGATCTTCACCAATATATGTTAATACATATACATATACATTTCATTTAGTTTTTTTATTAAAGTGTTTTTTAAAAATATGCAGATAAACACATTTTGATGTAGGTTTTCAAAATCACAAATCAAAGTGAAAACAGGATTAAATGGATTTCTGAATTAATAAAAATAAAACTGACATAGACTGGAAATCAACAGGTCTGTCCATTGCTAGTTTTTTTTTCTGATAATCCACCATGTGAGCAAAATATTGAACTGTGTCTCACTCTTGATTGCAGTGTGACCTTTAAAACTTAAAGCTTTACCTTCCTTTCTAAAAAGTAGAAAGGTTTTCCTAACATTTCAAAATATTGTATATCCATTCACTTATGCAGACCCCAAGCAAGCAAAAACTCTGTACGTTTTTGTGGAGGCTCATTTTGGGCTTAAAACTGAAGGGCATAATGCTTCTCTTCTCCCCCCCTTCTTCTTTTGAGATTTTTCTTGACTGCAGTCTATTACTTTAACAAGAGATGTAAGTAAAATCATCACAGATGGCCATTCCTTCTTCTAAAAATGATGAGTATATTTTCTCAATGAAATTAATAGCTTACATCTCTCAAAATATGAAAAAAAAATCTGATTAACTTGCAGATTTGTAAATGAGTGATTTAAAACAAGGAGGTGAGAAATCTCTACATTTTCTAAGCAGCTGAATGCTCTACTTTTGACAGCCTTGCTTTATCCAATAAGCACAATTCCATGTGACCTCTTCGTATTCAGCATGGGTAGTGGGGGCAGTGGGGGAAGAGTCTTGGTGGAGGGGAGCACAGTTAACAGTCAGTGACTGTTCACCACATTCACGGTATGTTCCAGTCCTTGGTGAATCACTTTGGCCCTGGGGAGATGAAGGGGAGACATTCCGAGGTCTCCTGGAAGGTTCTCAGTGATATATAGGTCTATAATGGGACATAAAAAGTGCCATGCTGGAGCTGACCAATCTCTGGAGCCACAAGCTCAGTAGTCTGTGTATGGGCCATGCTGCCTCAGGGAAGTTACAAGAAGACTATGAAGGTTGCATCTCTTCTGCACTGAAAATCCCTGCCATCTGGTTGCCAGTGGCATGCTGTCTCAGAATCTGCTGGAGCTGAACAGATCTCAAATATACAGCCAAGGCTCTCTTCTGTCTAAGGAGCACTTTCCCCCCATTTCACTGCTCTCATATCTCCTGCAATCTATCCACTTTCTGAGGCTCCTGCTGTGAAATATGCAGGGAGACAGAATGATCCCGTTCCAAATAATTAAAGCTGTTGCGGTAGCTTTCTTTGTGCCAAGGAGTAAATTGCATCTCTATCTCTTGTGCAGCTTGAATGATTAATTAAAAATGCATGAGAGCGATTACTGTGGTAATTCAAAAGTATCTGTTTGCCACAAATCTCAGTGGACGAGGCCAGAGTTAACATCCAGAGCCATGTTTCATTATTCATAAAGCAGATGTAAACTTGAGTGCAACTCAGTTGACATGTTAGTGTTGTGATAACATTTCCAATTCTGTGATGAGGTTCAAACAAAGTCTTTTTTTATTTAGAAAATGTGGTGCATTTTGGGGTCTTTTTGTTTGTTTGTTTATCACTTTAAACAAGAATGCCTAGTTTCCCACAGTGGGGACCTGCAGGATTGTGGACAAGCAGGACTGAAATATGAACCCTTTCCCAGCCTCTGTTTCTTTGGATAATCACTGAGCATTTCGTTTTATTTTAGTTTTCTCTCACACCAATATACCTTATAGGATTATTGTAAGAAAATATGAGATAAGACAAACATAACAGGACAGGAATATATGAGCATTTTACTGAGAGAAAACAATCATTTTGTTATTTGTATGATGAGTGAAGAGGGGGAAATTGCTTGGCCACCGATGCCTTTAATCTTCACTAGGCGAGGACAGTAACATCAATTTCCTGAGAGAGAAGGGGAGAGGGCACCAATAATCATAAGGTATCTATTTTTCTTTTTACGATAAGAGACATTTGTTGATCTCCAGTGCAGAAAATAGAGTTGGTGGCAATTTGTTTGAACTTGAAATGCATGCAAATAAGCACAGTGACCATTCACAGCAACATTGTGTAGTAATGACAACACTGGTGTTTTAGCATTGCTAAGCTAATTAGCACAACTGGGACAGGAAACTGTCATCTTTGTTCAGTTTCGCATGAATAGAATCAAACATCCCAATGATTTTTTAATTATGATTTCTGCAGCTTCGTGCTGTAGTTTAAATTTGAAATTCCTTTGAAGGAACGGCGATGACAATAGTAATGGAATGTCGTAGGAGAATGAAATGTTTCCCCACAGGTTTCTGAATGTTTCCTTTTCTGATAATCACATTTGTTCTAGTAACAGAGATCAGTGGTACTGGAAAGATTCTTGAAAAAAGAGCTTACCTGTCTCATCAGTGTGTGTCTTTTGAAGTATATTGACATTGTCCTAATCCAGTGGATCAACTGTGAGACCCAGAGTGACAGATGAGTGCCTATATAAACTTATAGTTCAGCACATAAGACACCCTGGAATCCTATACACAGAGGGAATTTTTTAATGTGTAGAAAAGTATTGAGGCATGTAAATTACTGCTTCCATGTTAAGGAAATAACTCTTGGTCACCGTATATGATGAGAGTCTTGAATAAATATTCAGTAAAACACTAGCTGTGGTGAAGATCGTGCACTCCATAGAGGGCCTAATCACACCTGCCAAAAGAACCCCAGTTATACCAATTCTTTCCATTCCATCTGTTGTACTGATGCATTTATTTTCATAGCCACATGGTATATATACCAGTGGGAGCATTCACATTGTTTTTAACTGTAACAATTCATTTCTTTCTAGTTGAACCATTATAGCAGGATACACTGTTCTTTAATTTTTCATCAGTTCATTTTCTCTATTGCTTCTTGGGGCAATCAGCCCCCGTCCTTTTTTTAAATTACCAAAGCTGCTGTATCAATATAGAAATACTGCAGAATGAGGCTTCTTTCTTCCTCCCGTTTTCCCTTCTCTCCTTCTTGCTTATCCTTTGCCTTTTGCATCAGGAGGAGGAAGTGGGTTTTGAAAGACTTGCAAAGTACTGTGAAGAGCAGGGTTAAATAAATGCAGTGCTCCTTTTTTTTACAATTCAAAGCAGGAAATCCGAGGCCTTCTTTCACTCATGGCAGAGGGAAGGCTGTCTCCTTCTGAGCAATTTTTTCATGTTTTATTTGTGGTGGCGGCAGTGCCAGTGGATCCTAATACCAAATTTGTTGATATACCTTTTAAAAAAAATTAAAAAGGGATACAAGCACCCAAAACCCCAACCTATTTGCAAAGGAAACAAATCAACAGCAACATTCACTCAAGGTGAAATGATAAACCGCCTCGAGTGATCATTTGACCAGATAGGCGGGTATAAATAAATAAATAAATAAATAAATAAATAAATAAACAAATAAACAAATAAATAAATAAGGAATGAAGTGATTCATCATTGGTACAAAATAAAACAACCCTCCTGGAGAGGGGCGAAAACACCTGCCAGCCAGGAAAATGAGTCAATCTTGGCCATGTGTCATGTGCTTGAAAATTTATCAAACAATCTAAAAAACAGCCGTTTTGGTAAAACTGGAGTTCCTTTACCATGTGTGATCCGGCCCCATATAGTTGCCTTCAAATTGTGGTTTTACTTGTCTTGAAATTCCTGTTTGTGCCTAGAAGTATCAAATTGACAATGCAGCTTTATGTACGCATGCTTTATATGTGTGCACTCACAAATAGCCTATTTTTTAAAAAGAGAGAGAGAGAGCCCAATCTCTCAAAATCTAGAAGTTCTGAGGAAAATGAGGCACATTTGAGAACTGCCAGGTTATCATTATTGTTTTCCACAAGTAATGCATTAATAAATGATTCATCAGCACCATAAGAAATTGACTTTGACAGAGTGTTCACTGCGAAAAAACCTGCTATGCCATTTACTTAATGTGTTAAAAGTGTTTACAGTTTCTTGTTCTGTTTCTCTCCTTCTTCTCCTGACCTCTGATGCCAAACAGAAAGAGCGAGAGAAGGGCTCCAATCTGGCATTCATGTTCCGGTTGCCTTTCGCTGCTGGTAGAGTCTTCAGTATCAGCATGCTGGATACCCTGCTGTATCAGGTACTGTGAATGGAAGAATTTACTTTCATTTTGACCATGCATTTGCATTCTAATTATCTTGCCTTATCCTTTCTATATATTTCAAGCCGAAGTACCTGTTTTCTCATAAATTGTTCAGTCAAGCAGTAGCAGTTAGAAGGAAATGCGGTAACCACAGAAATAACATAATGACTGTACTTAGGTGTTGGTTGAGACGTAAAACTTAGAGCCCAATTGCATTAGTTTAAAAAACTATTTAAATTGGGTTTACCATGTTTTAACTCTTATTTAAATTTGGATGATTACATGATGTACTTGCAAGCACAGAGTAATTTGACAGGGAATCAGGGGTTTTTTTTGTGAGGCAGAAACGTTTTTTAGTCCTCCACCAGATGTTTGTATATTTTACTGCAGGTATGGAATTGATTCATTGAAATAGCTTCCATGTATGTAAATGCCCCATCCACTTTTTTAAAAATCCTTCTAACTGATACAGTGCTATACTAGATAAAAGGAATATATTTTTTAAAAAAACCATCATGGTCCACTTGTAGAGGCCAGCCTCTTTGGTGTGGGCTTTTATTGTGCTCCCTCTATTATCATGATCAGCTGCACCAAACAGCTGACACTGTCTCCTTAGTTGCCTGCCTGGCCTGCCTGGTCCTTCCCCCAGGTAGAGCTGAGTGGGTCAATGGTGATGGTGGCAGCAGCAGCAGAAGCACAGGTGCCGGAGTGCTGGAAAGCGGAGCTGCTTCTGCATTCTGCTGCCCCTTCTCCTTGTCCTATGCCCAGCAGCTGGGGAAAGGCCATGTTTGTGGCAGGTTCTCCTTGTGTTCCTGGGCCAGACTGGGGATGGCAGGGGTCAGAGGGGAAATGGGAGTTTGGAACGGAAACCCCAATCCCTGTCACTGGCTCCAGCTGCCAAGAATCCTCCACCCTTCAGAGCAAAGGCAAGGGGAAAGGGAAGCCAAATGGGTACACAGGGACTGCCCTTGCCGACTGCCTAGTGGGCATGCAGACAGCAAATCAAATAATTATGGAAAGTCACATGATTTTTAAATCATTTCCATTTAGAATAGAATTTATTGTGAGGCAACTGTAAATGTAAGCAAGCCAAAAGTTGTTGCCTCCTAAATACCAGTATTTAAGTGGTTTGTGTTTGTGATTTCAGAAATTGGGGGACTTCTGTCCAGTTCTCTGTTTTTATGGATTTTGCTTTTAACATTGTTTCAGAAAGTAGCATGTTAGTAAGGAGTACCTTTTAAAATAATGTACAGTGGGGTCTTGACTTGAGAACTTAATCCGTATTGGAAGGCGGTTCTCAAGTCAAAAAGTTCTCAGGTCAAATCTGCATTTCCCATAGGAATGCATTGAAAACTATTTGATCCGTATCTGCTCTTTTCCGTCCTTAGAACCTAATGGGAAGCTGCTATTCTGCCTTCTACCACTAGAGGGGGATATTTTGTTTCTTTTTTTCTTAGGTCAAGAAAGGTTCAGGGAAGGCAGGGAAAATACAGTCCAGGCAGTACAGTACCAGGCAGTCTGAAGACTGTCTCCCAATCCACTCTCTAAATGCTGGGAGGAGTGAGGAAGCAGACAGGCACCCTTTTCACTGGCCAACAGTTAACTGAAAGTTCAACTAAATACCAGTATTTAAGTGGTTTGTGTTTGTGATTTCAGAAATTGGGGGACTTCTGTCCAGTTCTCTGTTTTTATGGATTTTGCTTTTAACATTGTTTCAAAAAGTAGCATGTTCATAAGGAGTACCTTTTAAAATAATGTACCAAGCTCTGGGTGATATTAATGGATAGTAAGGAATGGATGAAAAGGTAGGAGCAGCTGGCTGCCTACCCTTCTTAAAAGTACTTTATGTGCCACAGACCTGAATATTGAACATTATTCAACACTTTATTGTTATATTATTTTATACAACTTATCAGAGTGTGGGAAATATTTCTGAGAAACTCAAGTGAAAGGACAGGTCAGAGGAATTTGCAGTGCATATCACCATAAAATAGAAGGCAAAAGAGAGGAGGAATGCAAGGAAGATATATAAGTGGAAAACAAAGAAAATGCACTAGAGCAGTTAATCCCTCCAAAGTTCCCAATGAGGAGGCAAGAAGACGAGTCTCCCTGCTCAGCTGCTGAATAAAGTTCCCAATGAGGAGGCGGGAAGACGAGTCTCCCTGCTCAGCTGCTGAAAGGTCGGCTGTAAGAAGAGGCAGGGCAGCGCCAGCAGGACTATGTCCATGACTGGCATAATGTTGGATGAATGTGCTGCAAGGAGCCTCGTGAGTGGACCAAACTGAGGGGAAGGAACGGACTGCCATGGCACCTGTGATGCTGAGCTTTGGTTCTGAGGGGAAGGAACGGACTGCCGTGGCACCTGTGATGCTGAGCTTTGTATTCGCATCCCCCTGGAATATGAATACAAAGCTCCTATGTCTAATAGGAATAATCTGACTGTGGTGTTCACCCCTGGTGGCCCTGCCTGACTCTCCAAACAAAGAACACACAAAGGCACCAGTTAATCACTAAATCAACATTAATTATGGAAGGATGAAGATGAAGTTCCAAACTTCACTGTCTTTTAAATAAAACTTTTTATTCCTTATAGATGTTTGATTATTAATCATAGGTAACTTCTACAGGTTTATTCATCATCAGTCTCAACCTTCTATTTGTTATAAAAGTTCTTATTCACTCTTCAATCTAATCACACCTCAGATCTCCCAAATACCACACTCTATCTCTTCACTCTCTCACTGACTCTCTGACTCTGACTGACTCTCTCTGACTCCGCCTGTTAGCAACATTAGCCTGCAATATGAATATGCATGACTACTTAACATAATAAGGGTGAAGGCTACACTCAATTTTAAATAGAGGGGCTTAAATAGCAAATGCTCTTCTGTTTTGGCTGGGTTTGATTTCTTTAGAAGGCCAACTATTCAGAAGAGAGAATCAAGTAAATCCAAGATGCTTTGATGCTGCTAGGTGGTGACTTAAAAACAAACAAATCCTCTTTCATTGTTCAGTATTCATAAATAGATTTTGTTTTCCCAATCCATGTCTATGTGTTCCTGCTTTTTAAAAAAAGTAAGAGAGAAAAGAGCAGTCTAGCCTCACTAGTAGAATTCCACAGCTTGGGAGCAGCCACTAAGAAGACCCTGTCTTACATCTTCACCAGTTGTGCTTGTGAGGATAGTAAAATTGAGGGAAGAACCTACCCTGGAGATCTCAGTTGTTTGAGCAGGCCTACACAGGAGAATATTTTGATTCAGATATCTTCAACTAAATAACTTACCAATAAATATCAGAGTGCTCATTCTTTTCTTTCTGAATTTTCAGTCATTTGTTAAAGATTATATGATCTCCATTACAAGACTTCTTCTGGGACTAGATACTACACCAGGATCTGGGTTTCTTTGTTCTGTAAGTTGACAATTTGTTTTATACATATATTAGAGGGGAAAGCCTCTGTTTTGTCAAAAGCTGGCATTACAATGTTTTTTGTTGTTTGGATTGGTATTGCCTTTTCTCTCCATCTTCAAGGACTCTCTAGTTCTTTTGCTTCAGAAAGCAATTTAACAAAAGTAGGTAGAAATGATTCATCTGCTTGGCGGGAAAGCAAGTGCCATGCACTATGCAGCAGCAAGGGCTTGCATTTCATGGAAAATGTCCACAACCACACATACTGCATACAAAATCTGAGAGAGTGTGTTAACATTAAAGAAATGACATTATTACAAATTAAAAGCATTTTACTTTCCTCAGCAGATGAAGTTGTAGGTACTTTTCTTAACACACACTAATTAGAATTTAGGAATGCTGCTGGAGACTAGATAAAATGGCCTTGTAGCTTTGTATCTGGCTCATGGGCCAGTTGTCAATGCAAGGCACCAAACTTGATAAAAATTTGGAACTTGGGCATGTTCAGGTGGTCACAGGGCTTGCTATTTGGATTGCTTCTGGTGCTGTTTGTTTTGAATCAAATTATGATATCCATGTGTGTTTTGACTAAAAGTGATCCATCCTGCCCCCTTTTAGAGCAGTCAAACTCCTTTTTTTTGCACAATGCTAAGACTAGTTTGTTTGTTTTTTTGCTTTGCTCAATTCTGAGTGCTCCTGATTACCCTGTTCTGTAGCTTGTGTGGATTATTAGTTCACATCAAGATAGAGTTGTGAGCAGTGTTATCTGAGATGACAATGCTGTGGCATATTTGGTAGGTTGTGGCACTGAAAAGGATGAGAGACTACCCCTCTCTTCTCTATTTTCATCTACTCTACCACGTTGTTGTTATTGTTGTTGTTGTTTTTGTTTTTGTTGTTGTTGTAGTTGTAGTAGTAGTTGTTTTTGTTGGTATATTTTCCTATTGATGCAGCACTATTCTAGATAAATGATATATATTGGAAATATTATGTATACCATGTTAGGTAGATGCATTTTAAAAAAGTTGAGTTGCCATGGCTTGCTGAATGAATGTCATGGAGAAAAGGTGGGGGGAAAAGTAGGAAGGGGAGTGCCATTAATTAAAAGGGGGACAAATTGGAGCACTCCAAAGACCTGTCAAGGTTTTAAACCTGGTATGTTTAAAAGTTTTTTTTTAAAATGGAGAGTGTGCAGAAATATTTGCAATAAAGTACACATAATTTTAAGATGTACCGCTTGAAACAGTTGTTTCATAAGTCATTGCAGAACAGTGATTCAGCTCCAGCACAGCAAGATCAATTAAACATAAACATAAAGCTGAATGAATGTTTTGAAATTTAGAGATAAGATTAGTCTAAATAGCAAGGTTGTGAATGAATGATTTGCAAACATAAAGAAGAGACAAAGAAAAAAAGAGTGTTGTTTTAATGTGGCTTGGAATTATGTAATCAGATGGATGGATTTGTTTAAATGTTGAAAATAGGAAATATTTGGTGCTTGTAAGTTCAATAGTATACACTACAGGCAATCATAAAATGTGAGTGTTGAATTAGACCTCTGAGGTGTGGTGAATTCAATGGCTTAGAGGTACAACTCTTGGGAGTTGCAAGATTTGCAAAACTGACAGTCAAAACAAAATGAAAATCGTAATAATATGGTTAGACTAATATAAGTATGAGAGTTTGGGCTGGGGTGATACTCCTTGGGACATCAAACTCCTGTAACCAACAAGTTCGGCAGAATAGATCGTTTACAGATTGAGGAGATCTGAACAAATATAAATATGAGGAGATAGGAAACTCACACATTGGGCATTCATTCATGACAAGGTGGCTTCACTTTATGCTACACACTGGATATCAGCAACACTGATATCATGTATCAGAGCGAATGGACCCAGAGACAAGAAAATCAACATGGAATTTCCTCCATAGATTCCAAATTGGTATGGCTGGGTGATTAAATATTTTTCTTTGTGGCCACAGACTGAAAAAAAATGTGAGAAGTTTCTGAAAGATATCTGTTGGTGTTGCATTCTTGTTTGACCGGGGGTGGGGGCTGAAACTTGAGAAGAGCTGCAGAAAGACCTGTGGCCAAAGAAAGGTTGAGAATGTCTGTGGCCCCATACTCGTGATTCATAAGAATATAGTCGTTTATAGTTAACAAGAACTAAAAAAAAAAATCAATAAATAAATTTAAGTCTGGCAAGATCCTGAAGGGCAGTGATCAGTCTATCACCTATTGTTGCAACTTCAGCAGTTGTTCTTTTCAGTATTTTTTAAATAAAAAAGTTGAGCTCCTATTGCTGCTTTTGTTGTTGCTTAGATGAGAATCACAGAAGATGACTTGTGGATCAGAACATATGCCAGACTTTATCAGAAGCTTTGTTCCTCTACAGGAGACATCCCAATTGGAATCTACAGAACGGAATCACAGAAACTTGCAACATCTGAGGTTTGGATGGTTTAATATTCTTATGGTTCCGCATATGGAATATTTCACTAATAGGAATCAGCGGAAATGTGATAGACCTGTCCTACCGAGCACTGGTTTCTTTAAAGTGTGACTCATATTTTTCTCTCTGTGCTGTTTTCTTTTGATAAATGTAAAATATAAAGAAGTATAATCTTATATCTTCAAATACTTGGGAACATGCGGCAAATATGCTGTGCAGAGTTGCAGTTGGCTGCAACATATGGCATCTGTTCACTGACTCAGAATCCAATTGGCATTTGTGTAAAGTTTGCATAACTTCTACTTAATTGCAGCTAACTGACAAGGTGCTGGGGCACATTAGAGTCACATCCCTGGTCATGTGCCCAATTGTGTAACTGGTTATACAATTGGGCACTTTTTTGCCTGTTTGAGATCCTTGGTTGTTGTTTTTTTTTTGGTGACAGGTCATTTAGATTGTAAATCTGGATGGAGGAAGTAACTTTTTTTGTTTTAGCTCAGCTTCAGAAGCCTTTTTAGCATAAAAGTGTGAGAATTAAAATAAATAAATAAATAACCGTGTTAAAACTTACATAATAAAGGAGATATAGATAAGGAGGCAATAAATTCACCTAGCATTTTATTCAATACATGTCTGATGTCATGACATTCTAATGGTGGTCCCATAACATTCTGGAGGATGTTCCTCAATGCCCTTTCTTAATAACACACCATAACATAATTACGATTGGAAATAGTGCTTGCTTGCATACCCATACCCTTTCCCAGTTTTAGCCCTCATCCCAGAATACTGGACAGATGTTTGTATAGGTCTAGTGAGCCCCAAGGAAGACGGGAACCTCTCATGTGGAGAACCACTCTGTAAAGCCATCCATTAGATTTTAACCTAATTAAACTGATTGTAGAAACTAAATCTTCAGCTGTGACAACCCCAGACCTACTGGAGTATGCCACACTTTAATTATGCTGCCACCAACCATTCCCTATAAGAAGTCACACAGACCAGGAATGGATTTTACTAAACAAAAGAACAAGGTTTATTTAAATAACAAACAGGGAAAATAAAATGATCAGGTAAAGAAGATAATGTAACGTGGCATAGTCCCACCCATATACATATAACAAATTGGTTCACACAGAACACTTTAAAGTAAAGCACAGACCCTGAACCTATCAGTTCTGGCTACCCAGATAGAAACCTGAACCTATCAGGTAGGTACTAACTGACACACAGTTGTACCCAGTCTGACACACAGACTCCCACTCCTCCCTCTCCACATCCGCTCCAAATATATATACAGTACAGCTCCTCCCCCTGATGTCCCGCCTTCCACTCCCCATAGGATGGAACTTTCCCTCCAAACCCATGACAGACAGGTAACATCAGTGCTGTATGTGACATCAGCTTTCTTTCATTCTAGGGATCTAGAATGGCAAAACTAGGGATATCTTGACAAAACTAGCAAATTTTGTCAGTTATTTTTTTTTGCGTATGACACAACTTTCTGCTTTGCCTTGAATTAAATACCAACTCGTTTGTTGAGCTACCAGGAAACAATTTTGAGGGTTTTCTTATCATATGACTATGAAGTGTATGTTTTGAACCAACAGACTCAATTTTTGGGGAGAATCACAGGCTATGGTTTTTTAATGGAATCACAGCTTATTCACAGCTAGAGGATCTTTTAGGTAACTGCCCCAGGCATTTTGCTGAAGGAAATTTTTTAGCTAAGCTGGAGCAGCTGAAGAAGTAATGAAACTGATTATACTCATAAAAAATATGTCTGTGCATGCAAACTAGATGTGGCTAATAGTCTAGCTCGATCTCTTATCTGTGCCACCTGAGGCTAAAGCAGAGGTTAGATATAGCCCATGACTAGAAAAGGAAATCCTTAACTAATGCAAGCATCTGAGTATCATCACAGGAGTTTCTCTCACTTTTGGACATGGGCATATGTGAACTTGCTTGCTTTGTTAGGTGATTGCTCTTCAGGATTTAAACACATAATTCATTTGAAGTCTCATTTCACAAACACCCAAAGGCTGCCTTAATCACTTCTTTGCAACATTAATGTGCTTCCAGGTATAATTACAAACTACCACTAATGTCTGTTGCTGGTTTTTCGATTTATTCATTTAACATGAATCTGCCAGATTTTTATGAACTGCATCTAGGTTATTTGTCTGGGTTGCCAATTTCTGATTTAAATTAATTACAGGTGCTTACATAAATGACTAGGAAATACTGAGGCAATGCAAAATGTGCAAACATGGAATAAGCTCACTTATAAAATATCACAAACAGTTGCTCATATATCATAATAAAGCGTCGCTGTCACATAACTTAACTTTGGAATCTCTTTTCTCTAAGTCTTATTAAAGTTTCAATATTTGTAGTCTTTCATGGCCACTGAAAATGAACATTATTAGTGCATGAGAAACAACCTATGAAGTAAAGGTCTAGTTACTTCTTTCCTTTTCCTTTCTTGAAGAATTACATGGTCTTGCAGTTCACCTTCATCTTGTGATGATTTTGTGTAAAATAAACTTGCACACAATTTTTGATGTGTAATTGGCATCAATTTTTATTACCAGAAAATACATTACAGTATTAGATGCACATGTACCATACAATCTAATAGCAACTGGACATTTGGTTACTTCCCCATGTCAGAATTATTACTTTTAATCATCAACAAGTTCTCATGGTAAAATTCTAGGAAATGCAGGATGGTGCTTAAGATGCAGGGTTTTTGTTTGTTTGTTTGTCTGTTTGTTTGTTTGTTTTTACTTTAAAGGGAAAGAAGTAAATGTTCTCTTGGTTTTCTGGACTAACTAATCAAGGTATAAGAAACACTCAAAACCATGTCCACCTGTGTCTCTAGCTGCACATCCAAAAAACTAGAGATTAAATTTAGTGACACCCGAGGCAAAAGCAGCCAGCTGAAACCAAGTTAAGAAAATGTCCTAATGACTGTAAAAAGATGGATTCCTCACTGTGGTGCAGCAGTCTTTCCTGGGTGGTTATAAATCTTCTTGCTTTGCTAATCCCTCCCTGTGAGGTGATTAGTGGTATTTTCCAGAACAAAACAAAACCAGAGAAAACCAAATCAAACGACAGTTATGTGCTTCATGTACAAAACCCCCAAATGAGGTTGGATACCTTTATTGGATAGCTAGAATAGTGGGAAAAGGTGAGCTTCATTCAGACCCATTCAAAGTAGTAAAAATGTTCATACGCTATGTTGAGTTGAGGGGGTACTCAAAAGAAGAAATTGTGGGAGTTGTTTCATAGTACTGAAGCACTGGAATTATTGCCTGTAAGTGAAGTTCAGGATGTTTTCCCCATTTATTTATGAGCTGGCCAAGCAATGGATCTATACACATTATCTTTCATTGCCCCAATCATTTTGTCTGAAATTGGCAGCACCTCACCCCAGCCTCTCACATATGAATTAAAGCTGAGTTACAACCACTGCTAGTGGTGAGCCTCAACCTTTGAGAAGATACAGGAGAATGCATCCTTCTCTCAAAGAAATTCAGCAACATTGTCTCTCCAGTTTCTCTGGCCACAAATAGGGTGCAGAATTTCAAAAGTCCAGTGATACATAATAATAGTATATGAACATCTGATTCCTCATGCATTTTTGACCATTTCACAATGTGTTTTAGATCAAGCTTGTACCCTTCATCTCTTCACTGTCCAAACAATGAACTATGCATATTGAGCATATAGTAGTACCTGGCTGTAAACCAAATAATTTATCCACACCTTTTTGTTGGAAAATGTCTCTTTCCCCTTGGAAAATAAAGAATGAAAAATTTTGAGAGTCTATTTGTACACAGCTGAGTTTGTATTCTTTCTCCACTGCATTCCTGACATCTCATATTTTTTTCTTCCCCATTCTTGAAACAGAAAGAGAAGGGGTATAGCAAAAAAATAAAGGGGTCCCTTTAGTGTACAGCCTTGTGTCAGCTATGAATGACACACCATTGTGATTTAGGTGGTTACGATGCGGTTCACTTTTTTAAAAAAAATCAGACCTTGCCAACCTTCACATTTCTTCATTAATAGATTAGAAAGAACTCACAGTTTAAAAGAAAAAAATGTGAAAGATATTGGATCTGAAAGATTTGTCCATCCTGCCTCAGAACTTTGAGTGCTTCCCTCTTAAAAGCCGGAGGTTTGAATCCCTGTGGATCTCAGTGATAAATTATGACTGGCACATCATCTTTTCTGACAGGCGCCCCATCTATATGCCAGGCATGACCACAATGATCTTCTGCATGGCAGGAATATATAAAGAGAATTCCATTGGGTCTGTTTCTCATAAGCACATTCCAAAATTTAACGAGGAAAGTATGAAATAGAATTCAGCAATAGGAGAAAGCAATATCACTTTCACTTTGAGAGTATATTTCACTCACTCAGTCTAAGTAAAGTTTATAAAGTCTTTATGGCTTCAAAAGTAACTGCTGTAAATGGAACTAAGTTCTACTGAGTGAATATTTCAAACCTACAGCTTACATGAACCCAGCTTTATTCATATGTTGAAATGGCAAGTATATTTCACACTGAGCCATCATGCAACTGTGTCTACTGATTTGTATAACCCTAGTATGGTGATCATTTCAAATTGTCTTTGTGTATTCCTTGCTTGGGTACAGTTGTTTGAATGGTGTTTTGTTTTCTCTCCTCTCCTGACTCCTTCCCTCTGTGTCAGTCTCGAGAAATGGCTTCACAAGTAAGTACTTGTATTGTGCTTTCATTTGCCTTGTGTTGGTCTAGAGAACAAAATCTCCAAGCCGGATAGGTAAACTGGACAAATGATATGAAGAAATGACTGCTTAATATCCACCCTCCCACTCATATTTTCTTGTTCCTTCTTGCTTACCTGAAGTCTTCACAGTAACTTGGACTGAAATTGATATTCCTAGAAACAATTTATTGTTGCAAGCTTTCACTGTTGTAAGTTTGAAGTTTGCTTGACCATGGGTGGACAGTTAAGAGACATTAGCTTTACAATCAATCAATTAATCAATCAATCAAACAAACAAACAAACAACTTCTTCCTCTTTTATTGATAGGGACTCATTTAGCTGCTCATACTTTGATTCCTTGTGAAGGGAGATCTGATTGTGGTGGTTTTGTCCTGGTGAGCAGTTCCAAATTTACCAGTCCAGTCTTGACTACCAGGGAAGTAGTGGCTGAATAGACCTCAAGAGAAAGATAGTAGCATTGATGTGCAACCCAAATGAATAATAAAGTTTTGAATAGTATATGTGTTTATAGGTGGATGATAGAAACACACAGATATGCACACATCTCAGGTGAGATTTAAGCCACAAACTTCTCACTGCGCCCAGTGTTTTATTTCTTTATTTCCATAACTGTGAGTTTAGTACAATATGATCTTAAGTAACTTTCTACCACTAAACTATGCTTACAGGTTTCTAACAGATGATTTAACAAACTCCCCCCCCCCCAAAAAATGTGGCTTTTCAGTTCCTGCTACAGACATACTTGTCCCAAATGCCGGCTGTAGCAAACAGTGAAATTACAGATGGGTAAATGGGAGAGGGAACATGTGAGGGATCCTAAATTTGAATTATTAATTTTAGGGAGGAAAAATCATTAAAAAGATTTAATCCAAAAAAGATTTAATCTCCCCAATGGGTTTCTCTTTAAAGTCTCAGATTTCAATCAGTGTGGAAGAATGGGAAGACACTAAGGATGGTAAAGACCAATTTAACTACCAAAGTAACCACCGCAATTCAACCTCCAGTGATCAGTCAGACCATCCTTTGTTACGACGAAAAAGTATGCAGTGGGCTCGTCGGCTGAGCCGGAAAGTGCCAAAGCACTCTGCAAAAACAGCAGAAAAGATAAGTCAGCAAAGAATGAATCTTTACAGAAGGTCAGAAAGGCAGGAACTTGCTGAATTGGTGAAAAACAGAATGAAACATCTGGGACTTTCAACTGCAGGTTACGGTAGGACTGTAAAAATATATATGACTTTGAATGTGTACATCAATGTGTTGGTCTCTTACCAAAGGCTCCTCAGGAAATTTAACATTCATGGTATATTTTAGGGGGAAAAATCTATTCTGGATTCCTGACTTAAAGGAAACAGATGACAAGTATAAATCAATAGTTGTTGCAATTGTGGGAGACCCCCACCTCACCCTTCAGAGTTTATTTGGAGTGGAATCAGTATTAGTTGATTTCTTCATACATTATCTGTACTTAGCTAAATGGCCAAGATTGTGCATGATAACCAGATTTTTTCAAGCAAGCAACAATGAGTACCAAACAGATACCTGCCAGTATCTGTATCTCAGTATTTCCTAATTGTCAGCAAGGGTTCAAGATGTCTACCCTGTTTTCCACATACTGCAGAATGATGAAAACATGGGATTTATAGAGTCAACCCTCCCTTTTAAAAACCCTGCATTATAAAAGCTAGCTTATAGCAGTCTTGGGGGTAGTTTTCTCTTTGTACACAAGTGATTACTATCGGAGTTTTTCGTCCATGCACCACTTCCCTGTACAGCATCCCGGGCACAGAAACATGCTTCCCTACACTGCTTATTCTTGGTGGAGTCATTTGTGTGTCCTAGTGCCCAAGTGCCTTCACGTGAGCAGCAAAAATACAGTTCTATTAGCAAATAACTGTTCAGAGTGGTTCCTTAGCACTAACAACCTTCCATTAAGAAGATTTCATGGTGAAACTACTTGACTAGATTATTCAGACAGGCAAATTGAACAGTTTTGGCTTTTTTGCAAGAATTTTCATTTTTACTAAGTGCTGGCAATTTTTTCTTTTTATCTTAAAACAGCTTCCAGGGGTAAGGTGGGATTTTTTTGAAGCTTTCAATTCATTTAAATTAATCATTTCTGGCATGAAATACAGTTTATGCTGGCATAACTTTATACAACAGAATTTTGCCCTCTGCCAGGGCCTAAAATTATGTTCAGCCTGCAATACGTAATAGGACCCCATGTTAATTATTTATATTTATATCTATTCCTCCTCTACTCTGTCTTTCTTCTTTTCCTTTAACAACAATCAATATAATGCTAATAATGCTTCAGGTTTGACCAATCTCAGATCCAGACATGACTTGTTTTATGTGGGTCATTTAAATGGTCCAAAAATATGTCCATTATTCATTTTATCTCCATCTTTCCTCTCCTGTAGATGAAATGAATGATCACCAAAACACCCTTTCTTACATTCTTATCAATCCATCACCAGACACTCGCCTTGAACTGAATGATGTTGTGTAAGTTGAGATCACATGAGATAAAATTTACCAGATGTATGGTTTGTACTGTCACATTGCAGAAACAGATACTTTAAAAACTGAGCTAAATGTTCTTAATTGTTTAAGATGTATGGTTTGTACTGTCACATTGCAGAAACAGATACTTTAAAAACTGAGCTAAATGTTCTTAATTGTTTAAGCTTAAAATGGAAAGATGCAGGAGACCCAAAGATTCTATACATACACATGTATACAACCTTACCAAGAATCTTTTGGAGCATTGTTTAAATCAATATGAACATGTGACCAGGCATGTTAATGCCTGAGAACCAGTAGCATATCTAGAGTAGGCCTATTAAATCAGTGGAACTTATGAAGAGTTTACTCACCAAATTTCCACTGATTGCTGCATTTTAACCAATGATTTGTACAAGGGAAAAAATGAACATGCAAACATGCATCAACCCCAAAATTAATTTTATAAATTCTCCAGTTAGGACTGGAAAGCAGGCAGAATGAAATGTGGGGCATGGCCAATTTAATAAATAGCAGTGGCGTGGGAGACATGTTTTTCTCTATTTAAAAAAAGGTTATTAGAAACCTGATTGGTGGTGAATGCTTAACTGGACCTTTGCAATTTGAGGTGGCAACAGTTTATGATTTGTTGAATCCCTGGCTTCTGCTTAATTAATTTTGCTTGGTGTTGAATTTTATAATTGTTTTAAAAATGTATCATGTATGTGTTCTAATGCAGGTGCTCACTGACCCAAGATCCTATTTTGGATTAGTCAGTGAGTCAAATGCTTTTTAAATATAGATTCTGTGGTTGCTAATTAGGATATAAAGGCAATATACAATCATAGGGAGTACTGTTTCTTTTAAAGGCTGATGGAATCCATATATAATTCAACTGCATATTGTTGCTCTTTTTTAGATACTTGATCCGCCCAGATCCGTTGTCGTATGTTCCAAACACTGCATCCAGCCGGAAAAATAGCTTCTGCAATGCCATCGGGCAGGACACCAGGGAAGAAACCCAGCTTTGATACATCACACAGATTATTGACAAAAAGACATTTTTATACAAGTAGCTGTTTCGAAATTTAGTGAAAATAAGTTGATGTAATTATTACATCTGGAACTTTTAGAAGAATTAGCATAATGGTCAACTGATGCTAACTGAAGAACTGTCTCTCTGAAATTACAGAAATGATTCCAAAAAGCTGTGTATGGTTTCTAAACAGTTATTCTGAACATGGAGCTAAAATAGACAAAAATGCAATGAAATCTAAGCGAGTGTGCCCATTGTTTGGTGTTGCACAATGAAAGAAGATATCCCTCGCCCCCCCCCCCAAATTAACTGATGCTGAGCTTGAACAGCCTATTCTCTTTCTCTGGTTTGAATCAGCCTCTGTGGAATAATAAATAATTTCCTGCTTTATTACCTAATAATCGCTGTTCCTGCTGTATTGCAGAACCATGATTTTCAGGTAAATTTGTTGTCTGGGAAACTAACTGCGGAGTATTATAGCCTGTTTAGAAACCAACATGCTGAAACAGTCCTTCATAGACAGGCTGTTTGTCCTCCGTGCACGAAGAAGGAGGAGTTTTAGAGATTTCAAAAGGTCTAATTAGAAATTTAGGTAATTTCAGAAAAGGGGGCTTGTGTCTGAAGTGGCCATCACAGAGTAGAAAGGTTTGGCAGTGTATGATTCTGTAGTTTTGCTAAAGTCAAGTGGGTGATAATCTAATCAACTCATTAGATGGCAGTCTACTGACAGCACTATGACAAGAACTGGAAATGCCTACAGTATAGTACGGAACATTATTTGGGGGGGGGGACCTGTATGGGTAAAAGCACAGGCAACACATGATGTAGTTGTAAGTCCACAGGCTTGTCAGTAAACTAAGACTTCTTACATAGCTGTGCATCTCCCCTCTGTGGTTTTTGTGCAAGTGTGGCAGTCATTCCTAGTGAAAAGGGGAGAGCAGATTCCCTGAAATCAAAGCCTTCGTGATCCAAAGGAGGATCCAGATTTGTCTAGGTTGCCTGCCCCTTCCTAAGCCAACAGGTGAGCTGTAATGAGAACACCAATTTTTCTGAGGTCCTGCTCTACAGAGTGCTTAATTGGATTATTCATCCGGCCCTAATTCCACAGAAAGGTGGGCTAAAGTCATGTGGTCAGTTTCTGATCTTCTTGACTGAGATTTAGCCAGTGATCCACGTACTGTTGCTGAAACAAGGAAGCTTGTTTTTCTTTGGCCTGGTCTCATGCTCTGCAAGTTAAGGCCTTTAAACAAGCCGCCCACAGAGCTATCTGATTTCTCCATAAAGATTTCACCAGAACCACATGGGATTAGTTTGCCCACAGGCTGCTCCCATTCTGCACTAATAACATGAGTCAATTCATTTATATTGGGCATGAAAGCACTTGTAAGGTCAACAAGAGTGTTTATATATATTTTACGAATACATATTACACAAGGAGCTGTTCTAAAAGGCCAACTGGAGTAGATTGCGGCAATGATGACTGTTGTTTGAATTTCTTATTAGCATCACCTGTACAGGTTTTATTTTCCATACTATCTGAAAGAGCTGCTACAAGTTTGTGTGAACAAATCAAAATGATGCCAAAACAGCTCAACAAAACTATCCATGCATGTGACAGTAGCCTACTGCATAAAACAGCATTTTAATTGGTTGTAATACTTACTGATTGTAAGGAACCAGCTATTGTTCCAGAACATACGCACCAACAATTTCTTTATCTTTCATGCGTCAACTGTGCAAACAAATAAAAGCCATTTTCTTATGCAGTCCATTATTTTCGCATCTGCAGTGTTAAAGCATAACCACTCCACTAGCAAATGTCTGGCAATGCCAGACCATAGAAGGGGATATTCTGAAAAATTATGGAGTGCGTGTAAACTCACTAAATTCTTTATTCTTCTTGATTTTGGCCCTGTAAGATTTCTCACTTCTACCCAAGAGCATGAGAAGGAGTGCTAGTTGTACTCCTTAAATGTACCATAATTTGCCCAAACTGTGCAGTGCCGGCATCTTTTCCATTTGGGAACCAAAGCGCACACGCACACGCACACGCACACGCACACGTACACACACACACACACACACACACACACACACACACACACAAGAGCAAGCACAGAACACTGGCAGATAATTAAAATGGCTAAAATTTAATTCGATACAGATATCCCCTTCGTTCTTCTGATCCAATCTGTCAAACCCTATGTAATAAACCACAAACATCCTCATTCTGCACAAAGGGAGTTATTTCCATTACGGCAACAGATGCATTAAAGCATTATTTTCTGTAATTTTGCTTACTCTGCATATACATATCCTTTCCATTCTCTTTTATTGAGGTTGCTACAAAATGCCCTTCCCTCCCTCTGATGCAGTAAGGAGAATAATTTTGCAGTTCCTCGTCCTGACCTGTGAGGACAAGACAAGCAAGCATCCCTGGTTTACAGCAATGCTTTTGAATGCCCACTTTTCCCCCAGTTCTGTCTACCCTCAAGCTTAAAATTTGTCCAAGATCTTGAAAATTGTAGAAGTAGTTGTTTGCGCCAAAGGGCTTGGGGCCCTTTTTTGTGTGTGCACAATACCAAACGGCAATTAGATTTTTGAAAGCATTTTGTGATGGACATGGTTTGTCATTGATGTTTAATAACAATTAGTATATGAAGTAGCACAACATTTGACTTCTGTGTGGCTCTGCTTTGTTAAATAAATCTCAGCTATTGTACAAAAGAGAAAAATGCTTTCAGTTATTTGAAAAATAAACTCAGTTCTTGCAAAAATAAGAATAGAGTGCCAACTGCACATTTATGAAGTTGTAGAATGCTTAATAGTAACACAGAGATTTACAAAGGCCAGCCTTGTGTGAAATTCCTCATTACTGGATTCATTATTAGTTCGTTCACTCAGAACGTTCTCAAAGGCTGTTCAGTGTCTTTTTGCTAGAAAGCTTTCTACTTCCTCATAATGTTGGTGTCCATAAGCTCATGGTGCCTTGTGCATGAATGTCATTGCACTCTTCTCTGAGAGTTGTCCTTTGGTAGTGTAGGCATTCAAGGTTTAGCACCCTTGGAGGCTTCCATCTTATGAGTCATTGCTGCTAGCATGACCATAAAACTGTTGGTTGGAGCAGATGTAAATCTGAAGCAGAATGTGGCTTCCCCTCACACTATTTGGACATACTACCAAGTAAGTTTAAATTGAGCATTTGGGGTGTGGTTTTCCTCTCTTCCATAATAGTTTTCATATTTAGTCTGCTCACTGCAGCATATACTTGACTCTGGATTCTTCTCTTACATGTTTACTTTGGGTCCTTTCAACAGATGTTTTGCAGCCATCTTTCCTTATGGCCATTTTTGTTGTTTTTAAGGAACCCCAAACCAATAAGCTGGCCATCCAACTGACAAGTACCAGATTCTCCCTCTTCAGGTTCCCAACCTATTGTTTTGTTTTACTACTAGATCATGCTATGAGGGGATTGTGGCAATGAAAGGAGCAAACCAATAGGAGAACCAAGACTTTGGTAGTAAGAAGATGGGTTCACGAAAGGATAGCTTCTTCTTTTGCAGTATTCCCCAAATAATGCAGTCTAGAAATAGAATGTTAGTGTTCCTTCTGTTGAGTTCACTGCATTGTTCCTCTTGGCCACCCCACTGGAGAATCCCAAGGTTTCTCCAGAAGGGGACATCTAAGGAAGCTAGATGAATGTGTATGTTTGATTCATGTGCTGCTGGGCTACAAACCCAGTAATGATAGGATGTGATTTTTGGGAAGAGATGTCATAGTATATCCCTGTAAGGAACATACATATACACATACACACTGTCTATTTCACTCAAGGATTTGATTATGACACAAAAGAATTGCAGAATCAAACAGATTTCTTGGGAAATTTTGTTAGATTCAAATTGCTTAAGCTATTTAGATGAAGAAAGAGAGGCAAAGCATATCATTCTGTATGAAAATAATCCACATGCAGTATAGTAATTATGGATTTTTCCATGTTCTCTTTTTTAATTTTAAAAAAAAACACACATTAAAACAAAAATATACAAACCTAAAAGCATCTAGTAATTACTAATTTGAAACTATGCCATTTTCCCTCTACAGCACAAAATAGCTGGGTCTATATATAACTCTTTTACATTTATCATTCATGTCATCACTTAATGGATTGAGTAAATTGAAAATGATTTTTGAAGAACTGTTTGTCCTATTACTGAAGGAAAAGATGGACATGTAAAGATTTTTAGGAAGGGGTGCCATAATAAGTTGATGTAAGGGACATTTCTAGACTTTTTGCTAGCTCTCAGATATATCTTTCCTCCCTTCCCAAGTCTTCTGTTTTCACAGGGGAGGAAGGGGATGAGAGTAACAGAGACTTGTGCTTCAACAAAGTTGCCCCTCTGGTATCCCTTCCTCTCACCATCCCTAACCTCAGAGGCTTAGCTGGAACATGGATGGTGGGTTGAGAGAGGCACCTGAAAATGTTATCTGAAACTTTTGCCAACAGAATAACAGACTGATGGAAGAGCATCTCTTGAAATGACAGATTGTCCAGCAGAACATCACCGCCCTTTTCATTTGTCTGCTTTTTGCTCAGCTTTCCTTGATGTTGCAGGCGTTATATAGCTGTTATGGCAGACAGATAAATACATTACGACAACTTCACTGGCACTGTTTTGAGAGCAAGGGGAATCATGTGCTGTTTCAAATTTCATAAGAATATATTATCATTGTATGGTTCAAGAAGTTGAATGCAGTGTGCTAGCTATTCAGAAGAGCCTGCTGGATGTTTCACATCTGCCCCCTTGCCCCTCTGCGATTGTAGCCAGATGGCCAAAACCCACCAACCATGTGGAGAGCTATCAAGAGAGCTGTGTTCAGATTGGTGTGACACATGTTGTAGGAAAGAAGTTTACTCCTATGGATGAAGAGCATCAATGTTTGCCACTATGGACTGCATGGATGGGGCTCAAAGAATTTTAAGGATGGTAGGAGGGTCATCCCAACTAAGTTCCACCAAGTCATTATCACTAGGAAAAAAATCGAACAAGCAGCTAACTTTTGATGGAAATCCATTTTCCTCAGGCTCTGCACCAACAAAATTTTGTGGGTAATTCAGAAAAAATATGAATGAGAATCCCAAAAATTCATGGCAGATGGATGTCCCAGCATTGCTTCTTAAGGTGAGTTCAAATGCTGGTTGCAAAAGTTTTTTGGGGCAATGGGGGGTGGGAATGCACCCCAGGTGGCATTTGATTGGAATCAGTAGATCAGTAGATAGGGAATACAGAAATGTG